GGGTGCCTGTAATCACAGTTACTCGGGAAACTGAGGCAGGAGAATCGTTTGAACCCGGGAGGCGGAGGTTGCAGTGAGCCTAGATCACACTACTGTACTCCAGCCTGGGCAATAAGAGTGAAACTCCATCTCAAAAACAAAATAAAACAACAATAAAAACACCGCTACTGGTGCTATATAATTGGGTCTTACTGCTCCAAACAAAAGGTAATTGTTCATCATATAACCCAACAATTTGCTGCAATGTGACTGTTACAACTGGAAGACCTCTGGAGCAGATGTACTTTTGAGCACTGCCCAGGTGGCAGGATGTTCCAGCCCAGGTCATCAAGGAGAAAAATGTTTACAGGCGGCCTGTGCTGAAACTCAGACTCCAACCTAAGGAAATCAACACAGCAAGACAAGGCCACAGCGGTGGCTTAGAAGGTTCCTGGCTGACCTTCAGAGTAGCTCTTCCTTTTTCCCCAAGTACAACTGCTCTGTCTCCAGGAGAACAATGTTAGCCCTAAGCAAAAATAATGAGGAGTTTCCTAAATTGCTCTCTGGAGTCATTTACAAAAAGCAAGCAAACTCTATCTAGGAATGTTCAATTATAACAACAAAAGACTGTAGATAATCAAGTCTAATAACAGAAGACTGTAATCTGTTCAAAATGTTTCAAATGAGAAACACTGAATTACATAGTTGCTTTTCAAGTAAATGTCCTTTTCATTAATAAACTTAAAAATCAAAATGTATCAAGTTGTTTCAGTAGTTTTATTTAACTGCTGTGTCACTTTCTCCACTCAAGGTGGTTAATTTAAAAAGCAGGTCCAGTGTGGTGGCTCATGCCTGTAATCCCAACACTTTTGGAGGCCAAGGCGGGCAGATCCTGAGGTCAAGAGATCAACACCAGCCTGGCCAACATGGTGAAACCCTGTCTCAACTAAAAATACAAAAATTAGCTGGGCATGCTGGTGTACACCTGTAGTCCCAGCTACTTGGGAGGCTCAGACAACAGAATCTCTTGAACCCAGGAGGAGGGTTGCAGTGAGCCGAGATTGCGCCACTCCCCTCCAGCCTGGCGGCAGAGCGAGACTCCATCTCAAAAACAAAAACAAACAAAAGTCTATCGCCCTACAGTAATTGAGTGATATAAATCAATGCAATCAGAAATTAAAGAACAAAGTCACTCATAAAATGTGCTGTCAAAAATCAGCTGTAAATTACCAATTTTAAAAGCTAACCTCAGTAAGAGGTATCAATGAATCACTTTATTACTGTAATCAATCCTCCCAGACAGCATGAGAACATAAAGACACCGAATGCTCTGGATGGGCATAGCTAGTGTGGGCTTCACTCACCCCGAGGCTGGTTCCAGGGCTGGCCCAGACAGCATCCACTGGGATGCAGGGAGCATGCGCTGCAAGGGGACACTTTACAATGTCATTAATCATTTATTACTTGATCTTTTCTTGTATTAAATTATACTTGTGTCAATGGACTCTGCCCTAATACATGTGTATCAGGTAACACGAAACTGCCCTTGATCTGACACGGGGTCTTTCCGGAATGTCTGCTGGCTCGCTGCTGTCAGTTGCCAGCCTTACAGAGAGGGAGCAGCCCGGAACTTGGGGAATCAACTGTTCTGTTAGGAGCAAGAACCGGGAAGAGCCTAAACAGACAAGTTCCAACAAGGATCAGAAAGTACAGGGAATCATCCAACAAAGGTAGGGGTTCCAATCCTTTCATCCTTAATGCCTTGAGTGAGAATACAGGCAAACGAAAGGCACACATACGTAGGAGCCTGTGTGTGCTTTAAAATAAGACTCCAGCCATCTTGCTTCCCTGTGCTAAAATACCTTGCCAGAGCCTAAGCATTTAACTCCAAGAAGCCAAACAGACTACTTAATGTAATGATTAGTCTTCAGTTTCCTGTAGCCAATTCAAACACGTAATAGCTGTTTTAAAGGTGATGAAAAGATTCTAACAGAAGGAAAGCCTGCACCAACTGAAATCATCCCTAATTTCCTTTGTATTTTCAAGGACTCCAAATTTTAACACATTATGGCCAAGATTTAGAAAAAGCCAGTGGTGCTTCTCATGGCGCTTAGTATGTTACAGATCTACAATAGTTTCTCAATCTGAAATCTAAAAAGGTCTCAGAATAGAACTTCTTTTCATAAATGGTTGCCAAATTATTTTGGTGGCAAAACCAGAGTCTGACTGTCATGAGGCTATTTTTAATCACTATTTCACGGAGTGTGGATATCTCAGGCTTTGTTGCAAAATACTAGTGTGTGATTACAGGGTGCCACCCAACCTCACAGGTAGTGTTCTGTAACACACACCATTTTACCTTCCTGAAATCCAAAATTTCTGAGTCCCGCCTGGCCCCAGTGGTTTGGGGACCTACACCCTATGGACATTTACAGGGAAACTGAGCTTGGGCTCTGCTGCAACTGACTGTTACCATAGAGACTCTAACCTAAATTCAAAATCTTATTTAAATAGCATCTGAATTCTGAATTTATGTCATAGGAAGCAAATGTGTAAAGGCTGGGGAAGTATGATAAAATGAGAAGTTGTGATACCTGTGGGGGGCTGCACATTTTACCTGTAACAGACACTGGTATCACCAAGATCCTGAGAATACTGACATTTCAGACATTTTAGCCAAAGGCAACGAATTTATACAGGTAAAAGATGTAACTTCTCTGAGCATGTGATTACCTAGAAGTTCAGAATAATGTGAGGCCCAGAGTTCTGACCATGTGCACTGGAATGCAGTTCATTAAATTTCCATTTTTCTATACAACCCACAATGCTAGTATGTTATGTCTAAGACCAAAGTAATTCCACCCAGAGAAGGACTGATCACAAGGACAAACTGAGCATTACTCTAAACATTCCAACACACTTCACAGCCTTACTTCAAATCTACTATCAATCCATTTGACTAGAGAGGAAATACCCAAACCCCAAATGCTTTTAACTTGTATCAAGAGGGACCACAATGAAATGCGTTCTCTCTAAAGCATGTCTGTGCGTTTCTCTTTCTCCCTCTGTGATAACAAACTTGTCTGGAACCCAGGCAGCTAATTACTGTTTTCTTCAAAGTCCACAGAACAAAGATGCAAGCCTGCTATTACAGAACTGGGACCTTCAGGCCTGAACTTCCTGTGAATGCCAATGATGACAGGATGAACTTTGTGCAAATCAATTCTTTATTTTTTTTTCAGATGGAGTCTTGCTCTGTGGCCCAGGCTGGAGTGCAGTGGCGCAATCTCTGCTCATTGCAACCTCTGCCTCCCAGGCTCAAGCGATTCTCCTGCCTCAGCCTCCCAAGTAGCTGGGACTACAGATGCATGCCACCACACCCAGCTAATTTTTTTATTTTTATTTTTTTTTGGTAGAGACGGGGTTTCACCGTGTTAGCCAGGATGGTCTCCATCTTCTGACCTGTTGATCCGCCCGCCTGGGCCTCCCAAAGTGCTGGGATTACAGGTGTGAGCTACCGCGCCCGGCCCGTGCAAACCAATTCTTTTAACAAAATAACACGCATCACTTCTTAATATTTTAAGAGAATGCATGAAGAGGTGAGAGAATGGTTAGAGTAAAACACAGTGCCTTCTACAGTAAGTGCTCCAAGGGAAGTTAAAACAAGATGTGCCATGGCAAGCTAAACACTAAGTGTGACAACAGGTAACCGTGTATTCTCCCTAGTGAAACAGGTCAGATTTTAACATCACTGCACATGCAACTGCTTGGTTTCAACCATTCTCTATCACATTTGGAAGATCATTAGAAGCATATTAAAGCATGACCATTTTAATAAGGACAGTCACTTCTTTGCATTGGTTGGTTTTAATACAGATTCTAAGGGCAGTCAGCCGACCTGTTAAGTCCACTTGGGATGAAGACTCTCTCCAGAGGTGAGTTACACAGCAGCCTGAGCTGCTAATCAAAAGCCCACTCTCCAACTACCTTTATCTGTACCAGCCAAGTTAAGTAATTCAGATAAGAGATAGGATGAATAACTTTTTTGGTGGTAAATGCACGGCCACATGTCTGTGACCACAGTATCTTCTAGCATACATTACCCTCCCACGAGAATAGGGTGTAGCAATCTAGCCCCACCTTCCACCCCGGACCTCCCCTCTGGGTGATGCGCAGTTGATCGAGTCTGTGTTTCAAGGTCTCTGGAGGCTCTGACCCCCAAATGCTACCAAAAGGTTAACAGATTCCTGCAGCGGAATAACAGATCTGGCTGGGGAACCCTCCCTGCAAGGTCCTCTGAAGGGAACAGAGACCTGAGGTTTCAGAAAAGGCCACAGGTCTGCGATTTTCCTGCCCCTTTTCTAGCCTGCATTATTAGGAAACAGAATCCGGTCTCAGACTCGCTCTCCCCATTTAGACGCCACCTGGCAGGGAGACCATAGCAAGAGAGGCCTCTGTCCCGCCACGGCCCCCCCTGTAGCAAAGTGTCTTTACAGGCAGCTCAATACCGGGGGCCAGGGAGTCAGCTGAGACCACACCACAGTATTCACAGATGGTAGCACCAACAGGGAGACTCGAGGCAGGAAGGGGCGCCAGGATGAATGCCGGCTTCTACCCAGGCAGCTACACCTGTGCGGCGGCAGCCGGCGAGCCTCGGCTCCCTGGGGCGGCCCCACAGGTGTCGCGGGCAGCCAGCTCAGGACCCGCTCCCGCAGAAGGCCAAGCCAGCACACGAAGGAGGCCGGCATCGCATGGCAGGGCGACCTCTCCCCGGTCAAGCTCGCCTTGATGGAGGTGGTGGACCCCGAGGGGCACCAGCACGCACAGCCAGGTGCAGAGGCAGCTGGAAAACCCAGGACCGCTGCGCCCTGCTGGGGAAAACCGCAGTAAGCGAGTTCGCATTCTTCAAGGCCACGCGCTGGCTCCCGACCCGAGAGGGAGGGTCCCGTAGCCGCGGTGGAGCCGGCCAGTCCCCACCACGCGCCCCCTTCCGCCCCGGTACCCCCGGCCAAGATGCCCACCTCTGCGCGGGGAGCCATCGATGCTCTCGGCGCTGGACGAGTGCGTTTCGGCCGGGGGCCGCCGCAGGCTGAAATAGCCGCGCGGCCGCGAGGCTCCGCTCCGTGGGGAGGGCCCACCGCCCGGGCCCCCGTCCCTGCGTGCGAAGATGCCGCTGAAGAAGCGCAGCAGCCGGTGCTCCGAGGCCGCGCCGTGCCCGGCCGCCGCCCGCGCGCGCTCAAGCCGCTGCAGGTCGCTGTTGTCCAGCGTGCGATTTTTGCTCTTGCTGCGCTCCCAGCGCTCCAGGTCCGAGAGCGCATCGTTCTTGCTAAGCACCTCGCCCACGTCCAGGGTGTTACGCTTCTCCGAGGAGGGCTGCGCGGCGGCCGCGGGCTCCAGGGTGTCCCCGGCCGCGGCCTCGTCGTCAGGCGCCCAGGCCAGGCTCCCTGAGCTGCTGTGGCGCCTCTCGCCGCCCAGCGCCCGGCCCCGCGGCGCCTCGGGCCCGCTCCAGTGCCTGAAGCTCAGGCTCCGCCGCAGGGGCGCGGCCCGGGCCCCCTCCATGTCCGGGCTGCGGGGCGCTGGCGTGCCGCGTCCCTCCTCCTCCGCGGGGGCGCTGCCGGCCAGGTCCGCGGGCTCCAGGCCGCGTGCGCACGGCCGGAGCCGCCCCAGCTCCAGCTGCCCGGTGCTGCGGGTGCGGAAGGTGCGGAAGTCCCAGGCGCGCGGCCGGCGGCCCTCCGGGTCCTCGACGCCCTCCGGATCCTCGGCGCCCTCTGCATCCTCGGCCTCCTCCTCCAGCCGCCCGGGCGCGTCCGGGGAGCGCGCGGGCCGAGTCCGCCGAGCCGGGCGTGGGTCGGGGCCACCGGCGCCAGGCGCGGCCAGCTGCTCCTTCCTTACCATGGTGACGGAGATGCGGTAGACGGTCTTTCTGGGGGGCATCCCGCGCGGCATCGCGTCCGCAGGGGGCGACGCGGGCTCGCCACTGCCGTCCAACAAGTACATGTCGCTCGCGCGCTGGGGCCCCGCCGCATCCAGCGAGCCCGCGGGCTGGGGCGCGAGACCAGGCGGGGAGGGCGGGCGGGCCAGGAGTGTGGCCCACGCCCCCCCGGTCGCCGAGAGGGCCGCACTCAGGCTGCGGGGACGGCGCCCCTCGCACCCGCCGGCCCGTGCGCCGCGCCGCCCGAGTGCCGGGGTCCGGGCCCGGGGCGCTGAGCCATGGGCCGGCGGGGCAGGCGGGGCAGGCGGGACGGCTGGTCAGGCGCGAGGGCGCTCTTGCCGGCAGGTGCGGCCGCCGTGCGCAGGGCCCAGGGCGGGCGGCGGCGCCCGCGGCTTCATTGTCTACGGCGCTGGGCCCGTGCGCATCCTCCCGCCCCGGCTGCACAGCTTGGCGGTTCTGCAGCCTCCGCCACTCCCTGAGGCCCGGGACGCGCGAGCAGCTGCGCCGGCTGAGGCCGAGGGGTGGCGGGTGGCGGGCGGCGGGCGGAGGTTTAAAATGGAAATGCGCGCCGGGGCGGGGCGGGGCGGGGCGGGGCGGGCGGCGGGGGCCGACGTGCAGGGACCGCGGGCCGCGCGCCCAGCCGGGCAGGTCGAGTCCCGGGAGCGCGGCGGCGGCGGCGAGCGCGGCGGTGGGCAGGCCCAAGCGCCGGAATGGATCCGCGCAGCGCGGACCGGAGCCTCCGGGGGCCTAGCCCAGGACCAGTCTGCACCCTAAACCCACCACCCTCCAAGACTTGGCCTGCAAAAACAAAACGAGGGGCATCTCTCACCTGTTGCGTGTTTATGTGAGCCATCTTTCCTCACCATGCAGCCTCGAAGATGCAATTCAAGAGACTTGTTTAAAAAACAAAGTATCTTTGGTACCTGTTACCCCTGACCTCACCTAGGAACGAGTGGGCTTCCGGGAAGACAAGAACAAAGAGATGTGACTGCGAGGGATGGGTGCGGTTCACACCGATGCCCTCCCAGCAAAGGGCCACAGTCTTCTGTGGCCTGTCTCCTAAAATAATTCTGTCCTTATTGTTTGTATTTTCGATTAGCAATAATCTCACCCCAGATGAACCTCCATGGTTACAATACTGCCTCTGTGCAAAGCTTCTAAAATAATCTTGTAGGGTTATTTTACCAATGTGTGGGGAAAGATTCTTTAGAGGTAAGCACTTGCTCCCCATGACAGCAGACAAGAGAATACTGCTGTTAACGGCAAGAACACTGCCTGCCCACGCCAGGACTGTCCACTGACAAATCACCTGCTTGTCCACCTGTAAAACAGGGGTGCTGATAGAAGCTCCCAAACTTTCAGCATTCCTGTGAAGACTAAATTGGTTAAAATCCTATGTGCCAGGCATTCTGTGTGCATGCTAAATATTCACCATTAATACTGAAAACTGAACTTCTCTTCCATCAAATCCCCCACTTCCTACCTGGTGGGCTGACAGATACCAGTCTCAGATGTTATCTGAGGCCACACAATATTTAGACACAGCTGATCAACTTATCAGTTCCTCATGCTGTCAAACACAGATGTATTGTTGCAGAGTTTCCCTGATGAAAAGTTTCAGAAGGGAAAATGCAATGTCCCCTAATCACAGCATATGCTTCCATGACCTTTTCCAGGCCTAGAAATGCCACAGCTGGCTCCAGGCTGTTGCTGGGCCAGGTGCTGGTGGCCAGGCCAGGTAGGAGCATTACTTTAGGATTTGCTATTTGCAGGCAGAGATTGTCAGGTGCCAGCTTTCTGTACTTTAATCTTATTTTGGAGGTACACATTGTGTTCACGGCACTGGAAGTGGCATAAAAACGAACTGGGCAAGCTCTCTCTTGAAGGAAGTTACAGAAGTTACAGCCGAAATCTGGATTTTAGGACAGCTTGAAATTTAATATTCAGATTTAATGAAATAAATCAGAGTGAATGCTAGGTGATTCACCTCATTTTTTTTGAAGGGATACTTTAAAACACACCTGCCCACCCTCTATGTCCTCTACCCTAACAGGATTTTCACCATCACAGGGTCACACCTCAGTCTACCAGCTACTCAAACTTTAAGGGCTTTGAAAGTGCTACCTCTGGTATGTCCTCACTGTAAGGAGGGGTCCTCAGGACAGAATCGTTTTACCTTTTGAGTTTCAATAAAGAACCCCCAGCCTCTAGAGTGGGAGCCAGGCGGGATTCATCTGTCAGAATGCATCCTAGCCTCCGTGCAGTTAGGGAGATGCAGAGGCTGGGAGACAAAGGGCGCTTCCCCCAGGGCTACAAAGCTTCTCTGCAAGGGTCAAACATGGAGTGTGGGGGGTCACACTGCCTGTGTCCATTTTTTTTTTTCTCTTAGTAAGCATCAGCAGTCTGCTTTGTTGATAACAAAGAACAAAGTAAATGTGTGAACATTACTGAACTCCACACAAATCAAATGGAAATGTTATCTTGACATTTGCAGTTAGCATTTTTAGCAAACTTTCACCGAGTTGCTCATTTTTCTATTGGTTCACTTATTCAGTGAATACATATTGAATACTTACTGCAATGCTACACAGTGACAAGGCACGGGTTCTGCCCTCGAAGAACTGACAAACTACCGAAAAATGCTAAGGCGAAGTAATTTTACCAGAAAAAGACAGTGAGGGAGATGAAAGCGTCACGATAGTCCCCGAGGTAGCTACAGTGCCCTGTATACTGTCTCTTTAATGATGAACACTGCTAAAATTTGGCAAAAGTCTCCAATTTTATCACTGCAGCTGTATAGACTGAAAGGTCACCCAGGTCTGTAAGCTGAGAAGCAAACTGACTGAGCACCGTGGAGAGAGAGGAAGATCTCTGCTATGGTCAAGGTTGGGACCAGAACCCTGGTCTCCTAACTTAGCCAGGTGTGGGAAGCCGAGGTCAATTCTATTTGAGACCATGGTAATGTTCAGATACTGAGATGAACTTTAATATGAAAGTAGCTTGTCCATAATTAAGATATGTAAATCTATCTCACTTCTTATCTGAAGCATTCATAGAGCCCAAAGTAAAACAAAAACAAAACAAACACAAAAAACAAAATAGTGTTCCTTCAGGGCTAAAATACAGGACATTTGTCTCCCAATTACCGTAGCTTTGTCTAAAATCCATCCCAGGTTTTGTACTTTGCCATACGAGATGCAGGCTGCAGAGTAGAAGAATCCATTCCATCCACCTTAGATGACACTGACTCTTCCAGGGAACCTCTTTCAGCCATAGCCAGTGTGTTTGCAATCTTTCAGCATTTCCGCCTCAGAAGGAAGCGCTTATTTTCCACACCAGTCATAATGAGGCCAGGTCCAGTCTGACTGTGGGTGCTGAAAGAGCCAGTCACAGAGAACTGCCTTTCCCTACTGCCCTGGAGAGATGGGCTCTCCCAATGCAAAGAAGACACATGCTGCCGACCTGTCACTCCAAAATCTAAATCCCCTTCTACAAAGCCAGACCAGCCTTTTTTAAAGACAGAGAAAAAAAAAAAATCATAATACTATATATGTTCAGGTGGCATTAAGCTTTATTATCCTGTGGCTTTTTAAACACTCCACTAAGCTGTCATTTCTTGAATTTTTCCATGCCATATGGAGCATTATCACCATTTTTTTTTTTTTTAAAGCATGTAGTTGATTTCACTGCTACCTCAAAACCAAACAGCAGCCAGGTAATGCCTCCATGCTGCGTGGACTAATGCTGCCCAAGAGAGGAGACTGCAGAGGAGGGTCCGGGAAAGGTGCCAGCCCCAGCTAACCCCCATTCATCACCCTCAGCAGCTGGCTTCGCTCCCTTAGTTCTAAGTTTATGAGATACTTTGGCCACCCCCCATGACTCCTCTGTCCCGGGTCATTTCTAGCTACCTATAAATCAAACATCTTCCTTGAGAATAGTATTTCAAAAGTGTTGTTAGAGCTGATAAGCGTTGTTTAAAGGAAACTTCTGGTAGCCAGTCAGCAAAGCCATCTGCTACACAGGCTGGCTTTCCAAATAACAGAACCTGACAGCCAGTAATCACATTTGCAGTATCTTAGCATAACCGCGTCTCCTGATGGTAGAAACCAGCCAACAACTGGTCCTGCCCTGGCCTGAGCATGCCCACCACAGCAGCCAACCAAGAGCCCCTCCATGGGTACATCAAAGGCTATTTTCTGATAGCCAATTGACTGACAGATAAATGTAAGAAGACACAAGAATAAAGACGGTTATGTCTTATTAATACTTTTGTATTTTTAACATGAGACTCAAATTCTCATCTGAGAATGTCAGAGTAGAATGGCTTCTAAGCTAAGATTTGCCATGACACTCAGCTTCTAGGAACTGAAAATTCTACACCCATCCCTTTGCCTGGAACATTCCAGTTGAACTCACCAGGACCCCATTTTTCTCATTTTAAAAGCTGAAGGTTAAACGTGGAATTATAAAAGAAATGAGGACTTGACCCTCATCTGCCAGTCAAGGAAAGACAAGTATGGTCTGTCTCTAGGGCAGGAACACTGACCCAGCAGGAAAAAAGACCCCAGAAGTTCCTCTGAGCACCTGCATCCTTCCTGGGTTTATCCTTAAGGACCAACGACAGCAATCCCTGCCAACAGAATGCTGGCGATGTCTACTGTGTATGAACTCACCGCCACCCAGATAGGCTGGAGTGCAGTGCAAGATCATAGCTTACTACAGCCTTGAACTCCTGGGCTCAAGTGATCCCCCTGCCTCTGCCACCTGAAGAGCTGGGACAGCCTTGAACTCTTGGGCTCAAGTGATCCCCCTGCCTCTGCCACCTGAAGAGCTGGGACCACAGGCTCATGCCACCACCCCTGACTAATTTTTAATTTTTTTTGGGGGGGGGTGGGGGGGTCTTGCCATGTTGCCCAGTCCGGTCTTGAACTCCTAGTCTCAAGTGATCCTTCCACCTTGGGCTCCTAAAATCACTAGGATTACAGGTGTGAGCCACCACACTTGGCTAATTTTTTTGGTCAATTCTTGTAGAGATGGGATTTTCACTATATTGCCTAGGCAGGTCTCCCTTGTTATGCCTGCCCCTGGCTAAGGGTTGAGGTAGC